AAGCAATGAATGGATCGAAAGTAGAAATATTAAAAAAAAAAAAAAAAAAAAAAAAAAAAAAAAAAAAATAAAAAAAAAAAAACCTTGAAGAGCTGAAAAAGTGGGTGCCAAATGTATTTTAGAAGCCACGTCAGTTATTCAAAACCCCTAGGAGCATTACTCAGGTAAAGTTGTTTTTGACCATGACATTTGATTCGGTATATAATTTCCTTGACCAACAAACAAGTATATCACATCTACAATTAACAAAAACAAGATATATAAACGGGTGTTTCATTATAAGACAGGTACACCAAAACTTACATATATATACATTTATTTCAAGGCCAAAGTCACAAAGACATTTTACCAATGTCTTATTGCAATAGTATAGTGGTTTATTATTTTTCTCTATTATTTCAAGCTCTTTGATTGGCTCAAACTTGATTACATGATCGAGAGCATGTACATAACAGCATATAGACTTGTGTTACTACATATGTATTTGTAGATTCTGAAATACATACATGCATCGACTTGATGTTTCTAAAATTGGAAATAATCTATTTAAGACAGCAATAGTGATGACTTCACAATAGCTAATATGATTTGATGTTTCTGAAAAAAAAAATCATTCAACTCCTATATACAATTGTGATGTTCTGTAATAATTGGCAAGATGTAACAATGCCATGAATAAGGATCTACTTTACATTAAAACAGATATGTTTTTCATAAATTGATATAATATAATTCAACAAATGTAGCCTTGTAAATTAGTACATTCCTTAAATTACTCTATCAGTATAAAGGAAACACAATTACATTAAACATCTTCATTTATTTTTATCTCTAGTCACTATCTGTTTAAAAAAACACAAGAGAGAAAACTTGTGACTTGTTCCCAATTTTTTTCCCTTTAAATTATTCTGCTTTGTTGATCCCTGTAAAAAATAATATAATAAATGTAGCCCTTTCATTCGGTCAATCCACTTCGGGTTCGGTCAATATGCTTTTCTATGACGTCGATATGTCTATGGATCGACCTCATGAAAGGGATATATCTGTATAGTATCTGCATATATATATAGCAATGGTATATATAGTTGTATCTGCATATTTACGCATATTTAAGCTTGTCTCATGTATTATCAAATATTTATCAAATAGATCACAGACCCCTTCATGTCTGGATCTACGAACTTAACTGCTACCAATTCTGCTTAATCATGAGGGAGTTAACATTCAGAACAAATATATTGGGTTTTATATTGTGAAACCAAATGGTTATATGAGTATACTTGATATAAATAGATACCGGCATTTTCGAATTCCGAATCCTGTTAGCAGTAAAATCGATTTGTCTGTTCATTCATTAATATCAATAGAATTTTAAATAAATTAATCATAAATAATTGTATATATCTTGTTTTGATGAAATAATGCAGTTAAATTTATAGTTTATAGTATATATACTTGCGATAGTTAATGATGAAATTAATTGGAAATGTCTATCTTAGTATGTACAGTGCAATTGTCAAGTAATATTTCCTGACTGGCCTATCGAGTTTCGAAATGACAGATTATATGTAATTATGTCGTTGTTATGTGATGAGAATTTTAACCCCCCCCCCTTTCCTGCGGTTTCTTTCTGATATTATTGTATACGAAGTGCATTTAAGACTTCCATTCTGGTCCTTTGCTAGAGATTTGGATGTGCTTAGTTTTTGTAAAGCTTTACAGATACATTGTACAGTAATTAGGTCCTGGTAAAAAAAAAAAAAAAAAAAAAAAAAAAAAAAAAACATAAGCATAGTGTTTATGTTTTGGGCAGTGTATTTTCAGCATATCCCTAACAAAAAATTACTATAGTTATCTACAGTTTACTATGGTAAATACTTTGATACTTTGATTTACTATGAAACTTTACTATAGAATATTTGTTGAGATTTCAAAGCATAAAATCTCTTAAATTCAATAACAGTGATTGTAAAAATTGGGAAAAAAATGTAAATATACAAGTAATGGTTCCATTAAATATATATATATAAAAAATGTGCCTATATGAAGTAAAGAACATAATTTTTTTTACAGCCTGAAACTCATAGTAAAAATACTTTGCTATGGTTAACTTTAGTTAATTATAGTTCTTTTTTGCTAGGGGTAATTTAATTTGTTAATTACATCTGGGACCTATATACTAACGGGATAGGCAATTCTCGCAAGTCTCGCGATATCTCGTAAGTTGCGGGATTTCGTAAGTCGTATTAAAATTTAATATATCTCTTTTGCTATCAAATACTTCAGAATAAAACCTTAATTTATCAATCAAAAAATTATTCAAGATCTGTTATAAGCACTGTTTTTACTTCTTATCTTAGTAGTAATTACTTTTATTTAAATATCAGTGCGTGCCCCTGATCGGTCGTATTTCCGAGAAATCGCCAATTTTGGTGGTTGTTAACTTAATATCTAAATTATTTTATAATATGTGCTTTAAAATTTATTAAATATCCATTCTGATACACAAAAAGAACAGATTACATTAATCAGAAAACAAGCTTTTTACTGGGAAAAAAACGTAGTTTGAAAAACTTGCAGTGTTGTGTGTGACGGTTAGGGTAAATAAATATGGCGATGAAGGAGTTGCCTATCGTCTTAGTATATAGGTCCCTGATTACATAAATAAATAAATAAAAGCTGTACTTTACAGTAATTATTTTATCAAAAATTCCAAAATAATAAAATCAGTCCGTTTACATAATACGAATGCAAGTTAAACAATATTATTCCAAAACGACATCTGAGATTTTTTATATGATAAGAAAGCTCTAAAGACATATCATGCTGAGATACTATGAATAACAAAGATTACTTTGACTTTGACTATTGTTATAAAAATTTGCAGATGAAGCTTAATCTTTGTCCTTTACTATAAAAGGCATCACACGAGTACCAAAAAGATAAATATTGAATTTCTGAAAATAAATTGACATACTTTATAAAACCAAGAAATGCCTTTTTATGTAATGATATTTTATTATTTTGAAAAATCATCTTTTAATTAAAGTTTCACAATTCTATATTTTAATAAACCGGATTAAATATAACAACGTTCTTTATTATAAGATTAAGCATAAACTTACTCATTCTTTTTAAAGTTAGAACTTACTTTTATATTTTATGAGCTATTTTTTTTTAAATTCTGTTTGGAAGAAGAACTCTTGTTATTTGTAGGCCATTTCTATGTTGAATATTCAAACAAAAAAATTAAGAAAATAGAAAGGAAAGCCAAAAAATGTTTATTTATGATCAGTGAAATTAGAAAAAGAAATTTTAAAAAGTTACTTTAATAATTTTATTACAAAATAAGTAGCAAAGAATTAACATGGGAAGCCATCTGGTTCAATTTTGCATATACTATTTTTTTATACTCCGGGAGCAAATCTCTGTTAGCATAGAATTGAAGTTTTAAAAAAAAGAGATGTATTTATACACATTAAATGAATTTCCCTCTCTGGTACCTCAATTGTCAGAATTACCTCTCCTATTCCTATTTATAGAAAAATAATACCTCGTCTGTTATTCTTACGTATTTTTGCTAGATTTGTGAAAACTTTCAAAAACTGATTTACTTTTCTGTTGGAAGAAATGTGTTGAATTTCAATTTTTGACAAAATGACGTCGCATAATACAAAAGTTTATTCAATATGCACCGATAATTAGATGTTTACATGAGTGCTGAAAATGAAGGAGAGGACCAATTCCCTGTGTAATATTTTAATAATATGTCTGTTTCCAACACGTACCTTTAATGTGGTCTATATATCAAAATTGCATTCGTTTGTCCATATTCAATTAGTCTGAAAATAAGTTTGACTAAACTTAGCCCCATCAGTTTGTTCTTTATGGAAGAAAATAAAGGTATTACTACATCATTGGAATACAGGCTCTAAAAATAAATATTATGCAAATTATTAGGTTACGATACATGAAAATGTTGATTAAGATATCTTACTCTACATATTTACGACAAACTTACATACTCGGCAATTATTCGATGGACATTTCAACCTTTAAAGGAAATCTGCAGTGCAGAGCTTTCGAGTTGTTAAATTTAATTGAAAATGCTGATGATGATTCTTATGTTACAAAAATTGAATCTAGTCTCCATAAAACTCGTAACAAAACTATACTAGAATTATAAATAAAAAAAAATAATTTTATATTTTCATATTAAGAATAATCTGGTGAATCTGATTATCGATTACTGTACAATAAGATTCATAGTTAGATTCTCTACGAACTACACAAGCAAATCGTTCGGAGACATTGTGTTTAAATTACTTGATAACACTTGCCGAACTACATATATAACTCTATACTTCAATAAATGTATATATATATATGGTGCATCGTATTAAAATATTTTGATTATATATTGACAAGCAATAATTACGAGCATTTGAAATAGTGGATTTTATGTAGTTCAATATCCTCGTTTCTCTCCATTCCTTAGAAGCAATGGTCCTCGGCTCTATCGGAACCTCGGCTCCATTGCTTTTAACTGTTTAAGGAATTGAGAGGTACTGGGACATTAACCTATACACAGTTGTTTGTGGGGATTTCAATTCGTGTGTTAGGATGATCCACAGAATCTACGTTCATTTGTTCCCAGCGAACAACAGTGTAACCGAAACCTCTTCTTCTTCCTATAATTGTTCAGGTTAATCTATAAATAAATTGATTTGTTTTATCTGTAGAGAGCATTAAAACAAAAGCTTGCTTTTTATCATCTAAACATCTCTCTTTCGCCCCAAGCTATTGTTTTATTTCAATCACGTAGAAAAACAGTTTAAATATGAGAACAAATAGGATGAAATAATATTATTTGTATGACAAGATTTCACACTTCATATTAACAAAATGAATCATCGTTAAAAATTCATTTCTTGGCAGTGTATATCGTTTTTTATAACTTCGATTTTCCAACTTCTTCCACAGTATTTCAAACAATCTATTTAATCCAATTTTAAGATACAAGAGAGTTCACACCAGAACTGCTGCATCAACTCGGTAGTTTCTGGCCACCTTATACTCACAATGGACCACCAGATATATCGAAAGTCTTTTGGCATTCTTTTTATTGGAATATTGTCTTTAATTATCACTATGATGGATTTTTGCCGATCATTATGAAACGAATGAGTCACAGCCATCTGTACAGCATACGAATTCCAACCACTGGCCAAAAAATTTTCAGTGACAAAAAATACGACTTTCCTACTGTTATCTATAAACCATAATAGTTCACCAGCTTTAGTTAATCCAGGAGTGAAGTCTTTATCGGAAAAACTTATTTGAAACCCTTCATTTGTTAGCGATTGATATAAAACAGTGCTAACAATACTATAGTCATCTTCAGCGTAGAATATAAAAGCAGCAAACTGACAGTCTTCGCTCTCAGCGGAATATACAACACCTTTCCATCTACTACGTAAGCTCAGAATAATAAAGTCAATGTGAACACGATATTTTTTCACAAGGAAAACGATAGTAATCGCAGCAGTTAAAATTACTAACATAGAAAAAGAAAGCGCCAACCATGTCTCAGAATGGCAGTTTTTCTCGAATTTGGCAAATGCTTTTTCTTGTAGAAGTTCTAACACTGTTAACTTCTTTTCACTGCACATAGTTTCATTGAGATCTCCAAACAAGAGCTGAATTTCCTTCAACCTTCTGAGTGATTGAACATGTAGACAATCGCAGTTTATAGGATTTCCAAGAACGAAAATCTGGACTCTTCTTAATCTCTTAAGCATGATAAAGTCCGACTCTGTGACCGATGTTATTTTGTTAGAACGAATGTACAATTGTTTTAAATTCTGTACATATGTCAAAGTTATTGGAAAGGATGAGAAATGGTTTTCATTTACGTTCAGAGACAATAAGAATGTTTGATACTTTAATAAAGTAGGTGGAAAGTTGGTTAAATTACTACTTTGTAGGTCTAAATCTTCGAGCTTTTCAAGATTATAGAATATTCTTTCCAATCCATCAAAGTTAAATTTTATATTTTTTGCAACAATTTTCTTAAGTTTTGTTGCTTTTTCTAATAAGTGATCATATACTGTGGGACACCTGTTGTCAGTAATATCAAGAACTTCTAAATTCGGTGTGTCTAGCTCAAAAATGTATCTTAAAGGAAAATTTGTATGTGATAAGTTTAATTCTTGCAAACTCCTACCAGATACATTTAAGCGTAATAGGGACGAGTATTTAAAGTGAACATTGTGAAAATATGTATTGGCTAATCTTAAAACCTGTAACTCCTTTGAAAGAGGAAATGTTATTGTTAGATTTCTGTTCAATTTATAGTGCATTTGAGGTAACTTGTTTAAAATATCCATTACTTTCATAAAAGGTAATGAAGTAAAATCAAGAAATTTAAGTTTTGGAAAATTTTGCACAAGGTCTATCCATATGGTCTGATCTATGGCCTCTACTCTATTGTTGGAGATATTAAACATTTCAATACAGTTTCCCAAATTAGTTCCGAGAGGATTTGCAAGAATGCCTGAAATGTGGTCATGAAAGAAGGTTACATTTTTGACACAGATTCTAAAAAGGTGTTTGCTGTTGCTTTTATCCAAATTGAAAAACTCAAAAGATATGTCGGGAAAGTTGTAATTGGCAACGATGTATTCCATCGTTCGATTTTCCAAGCATTTTAAACTTTTCAAGACTACATTCATGTCACACCCTCCAAAATGAATTGTTACACCTCGTAGGTAAGGAAAAGAACAGAATATCTCTTCACTGATATCGCAATGCACATGCTTTTCGAAATTCATTGTCAGATATTGAATTGGGGATGCAGATAATCCACTAAAGCTCTTACTGTATACATGGAAAGGTGATGTTGAGAATAGTGTAATGTCCTTTAATTTTTTCAAACGTTTGAAAGAATCGCCGAATCTAAATGAGCCGAACACATCAATATACAATACTTCCAAAGAGAGAATACTTGATATTTCAACATCAGGGTAGCTTGTCAATGAATTATTATAAACTATCAGAATTCTCAATTTTCTAAGATTAGAGAATGCATCAACTTTGAAAGACAATTGCGAGAGGTTACACGATGAAATATCGAGAAAACACAAGTTTTGCAGTTGTTTAAAGGAATCTCTTTGTATGAATTTCAGCTTGTTATTATTAAAATATAAGGCTGTTACCATGCTTTGAACTAAATAGATGCTTGTGAACATTTTGGGAGATATCAGCGTAAAATCATTGTGAGAGAAGTCAAGCATAAGCGTTTTGTTTTCTAATTTGTCTGGGAATTCACGAGGTATCTTTTGTAAGTTAAGCCGACTACAATCCCACAACAAGCCTTGATTGCCACATTCATCTTTGTAAGATATAACTCTGCACTGCCTCTCCACTGTACATTCTACATATAGAAGAAAATAATGCAACAATAAAAATAAGTTAATAAATCCTACCCATAGTATATTTTTTTCTTCATGTTTACAATAATAAAAAGAATGAATAAAAATACTCACCGTAAACAGTACAAATCATTAATGTATAGCGGAAACAGATGTTACTTATTGTTGTCATGATATTGTGTCCTGCAGCTTTTCTTGAAATAATGTGACATCTGAAATGCATTCATAAAAAAAATAGCCAAAAATGTCACAAAATATACACATAATATTGTTTGTTTAATGATATTTATGGATAACATATTGCAAATTGTTTTTGTTTTTGCTTTTCTTGATTCAAATTTTGATTAAGTGCTAGCTCTTGAAATGGTGGTTGCATGTTTCAAGAAAAGATATTCTTGTCAGTTTGAAAGATCATTTTGTATACGCAATATTCATTGAGTGGTAGTACCTGGTGCTTTGAGGGAATACAGGTTCCGAGAGAAAGCTGCTCTAGTCCGATTGAAAGACTGTAAGTTAAAATAAATGAACATTTTTGTTATGTATAGATCAAACAACTAAGCATTAAGTTCCAATAAAGAAGGGTTAACTTTTGTAAACACAGAAAAAGACGTGTTTACAGAGAGACCTACACAGCATTAACTACACTCCATCAAAGCCCAATCAAGAGATGTGAAACTTGTTTCTCTTTCCTACTTTTTTTGAAATCTGAAAAAAGTACATTGTTTTAAAAACTGAAAATAAAAAGAAATAACAATCTAATTTGTATTGCAATATCAGACAGTTTTCCTCCACATATTTTTTCTCCGAACAGCATGCATATGGAGTTGAAACAGATAAATACAATAGAAAAAATAGATTCATGAAACTTAAAATCCTTCTTTAATATTTCCAATTACCTATTAAATAAGATGATCAGATCATTTGTTTCCAACTATTAATTTGAGAAGGCAGGAATTAAATTTGCCAAAAAAAAAACAAAAAAAAAAAAAAAAAAACAAACAAACAAACAAACAAACAAAAAAATTAAAAAACTCAAGGAACATACAAATAAACCTTGTTATTAAAATAAATTCAATTTATACAAGGAATAAGGATCCACGGCTGCTGGAGATAGCTCTTAACTTGATATGTTACTACAGTACCAACCAGACCAAACCTGACACCCAAGCAGTCCCAGAAAGCAGTCCCGGGGACTGCTTTGCGAATGCTCTGGGACCGCTGTGGGACTGCTCTGCGACTGCTGTGGGACTGCTATGGGACCGCTGTGGGACTGCTCTGGGCCAGCTCTGGGACCGCTGTAAGACTGCTCTAGAAAGTAAACCCAGCAGTCCCTGGGACTGCTTTGATCACCCATGCGTAAAATGATTAAGAGACAAGAAAGCCCCGCCCCTTGTGTATTCTGAATTTGCAGGCTTCATTTTGTACAGTAGTTTTGTTTACTTTCAGCAGAGAGGTGTAATAAAATTAAAATTAATCAACAAGGACTTTCCAAAAATTTAATAGAACGGTTAGCTACTTAAGGATATATGTCAACTGCCGATTTCCCTACATTGCATTGTAAAATTAATTAAAAAAATTAATTAAATGTTGGTAATTAGAAAAAAGTTGTTTTGCCAGTTTAAAAAAACAAGTCAGAAAATGATTTTTTTTAATCCGTGTATTTAACGTAAATGCAGGTGTTTGAAACTAAACAATTCATTTAATTAAAGCTGTTAAACATTCAATGCCGTTTTTAACAGGTTCAAAATAAAACCTAATAATTAATTCAAATAAATACAATCTTTTTCTATGAAATAATCTCCCGTTATATAAACAACGTGAGCAAATATTCTTTGATTTTTTTCCCGGATTAATTTTTAATTTATCAAAAAATTTTAATAAATATATAAAATATAGTAAAATAAATATGTTTGAAAATGTCGAAATTTATTTCTTAATTTTTTGTGTACTTTGAGGAAAAACAAGATACACGTAATAATTGTATTGTCTCGCCTATTCAAAACCGTACACGATATATAAAATGTGTAAACACCAGGGGGTCGTAACATAGAGCTTACTTAGTTTCTGACTTAAGTAGGGTCCTAAGTATGTTTTAGGTGCAACCGTAAGACCTGCCTAAGTACTACTTAAGTATGTCTTAATCCGTAACATAAAACGGACTTAGATAGGTCTTAGCTAAGTCAAACTTATGTTCAAAATATTTTTTATGAATCATCCTAGTTTTTCAATTTATTTGTATATATATTTGTAAAAATGATTTAGTTGCGTTTTTAATGACACATATATTAAAGTTGACGTTCTTACCCATCAGTTTTAGATAGTTTAGATTAGATTTCTTATTTAAAGTATAATTCTCTTTAAATCATTCTGAATATTTGAAAACAAATATTGCACTGTTACAAAGTGGCACTAGTGGTTCATTGTAAATGCGTGAATACTTTTTATCACTCGGGACTGCGGTGTGTTCAGTTTACCGTTATTATTCTTTATTTTGACAAATGTTCACTTGCTTTCAAATTGTCTTTCTCGCAGACATGACACGATAACCGAACATCTATGTAATTGAAACTCTAATAAAAAAAGTACATAACAATAGTGACATTTTAATTTTTTCCTCCCAATATCACAAGCAGAGACTGCAAACGTTTTATGATACATATCTTTACAATTTAATGAAGGAAAGTTTTCCTGCTTTCAGAAAACATTTTTTCGCATATCTCCAACTTATCAACAACTCTCTCTCTCTCTAACGGTAGTGAACCCTGTCTGAATTCTCGCTTGTTGCGTTCTACATCTCCATATATTTCATTCAATCAATCTAATTTACAGACAATCTTTATTAGTTTTCTAATCATCAGCCTTTAATTCACCGACAATTTTAAAATCTATTTGTTCAAATTTTTTCACAGTGAACAAACAAATCCATGATAACTGTATATAATTTACTTATAATGATTAGTGTTTATAATCTAGGTCCCACTAATATTGCATACGTATCCCAAAAATAATATTTTTTATTAACATGTATGTCCTTTAGAGAGTGATATTGGAATCAGTGATGAATGCCCCCCTCCCCCCGACGAAAAACTTAAATTCTCATACCAGTATATTAAATAAAGAAAATTATTTTTTTTAATATATTATATAAATAGAGGAATGTTTTAATATAGAAAGTCAACTTTAAATAGTTCAAAATATATGCTGAAGAAGGTTAAGACACACTTAAGTCACCTCTACCGGCCGCCTAAGTTTTGCTAATATTGTCAAATCTTAGCACGTTTCTAGTTACGGTCTTAAGTTTAAGACTGTACTTAAGTCCTACTTAAGCATGGTCTTGGACTTAAGTACCCTTTATGTTACGACCCTCT